CCCGGGCCCGCTGGCCTTCCTATAGTCGGGAACCTCTTCCAGGTGCCTAAGAATACGAGATCCTCTCTTACTTAATGGACCTCACGCGCTTTCAGATGAGAGCTGGGCATGCCCGGTCGCTTGCCCACTGGACTAAATTATACGGCGGAATGTTCAGGTATATTTTTTCGAAGTTCAGAAGGGCTGGTTCTTACCATTTTTTCTCGCCGCCGATGACAAGACTTAGCCTAGGCGAACGAGAAGCGGTAAGTGTACTGTCGAACCGAAGCTTTGATGCCTTATATCTGCTATTTTCCTTTTCTAGATCATCATCAACACATACGCGGGCGTGAACAAGACACTCATCCAACAGGGAGCTGCTTTCCAATCTCGCCCCGAGTTTAAGCTTTGGCATGGAGCTTTCACGAAGGCGTTGGATCCCGATGCCCCGACCACCATTGGTAGTGCGTCCAACACAGCGTACATCTTACTCCGCATCCTGACTCTGAACAGCAACCAAGTTCAGCGACGATATCACCAAATACAGGCGTCTGTTAACGGCCCAGACAAGCGCTGCCAAACTCCCGAGGTTCGTTTATTGTGCGAAGTAATGTACTTTCTATTTCAGCCTCCCTTCCAGCTTCAATCATTTCGCCGCCCAGAGATACTTCCAACTCGTCAACCTGCTATCAGAGACCGCCAAATCAGGAGTCGCGCAGGACCTTGGGATCCATTTCTGGACCACCACAATCGGCATTAGTGCTGACATGCTTTTTGGGCAACGGTCCGCCGATGATGTGACACGTCTTGTTGCGGATGTGAACATCAAGGCATTCCGCCAGCGGAGCCTTGCTACGCCAGTACACGACTACATCTCCCTCGCTGCTACAGGAGAACGTCTCGTGCTCGCAGCTGCATCCCCAATTCGCTTCGTTCTCCGCCCTCTTGGTCTTTCCTCCTGGCTGGATTCAATCTACGAGGTGGAGGCGCACGCTAAAGAGCTGCGCGATGCTGAGGTTGGACTCTGCACGAAGCTCCTCAGGGACCTTCATGAACGGCTCGACGCGGGCGACCCGACGCCATCGCAATTGGGAGACATTTTTCGGAGCATTAACCACGACACTTTGACGCCTAAGGAGAAGCTGCGCTTCGCGACGACGCTGACTGGTTCGGGGATGAGCGCGGGCACCACTCTCATCTGGCTCGCCGCACTTCTCGCCGCACACCCGGAGATGCAAGAGAAGGCATACCGGGCGATCGAGGAAGTCTACGGTGGCGAGACTCCCGATCCTCTGGATACGGACCGTGTTGAATACATCAAGGCACTCGGAATGGAAGCCGGCCGGTACTTCACGTCTATTCGACTCGGATTCCCGCGCGAGACGCACGAAGACGTCGTCGTCGACGGTGTGTTCATACCCAAGGGCGTCCTCGTCGTGTACAATTCCTACCAGATCAACCGTGACCCACAGCGTTATGATTTCCCGGAGGAGTTCGTTCCGGAGCGCTGGATCGATGGGCGCTATGGTCGCACAGACATCAAGCAACCCAAGGTTGGAGTCCCACACCTCAATCATGGCGCCGGAAGGCGCGTGTGCATGGGCGTCGCCAGTAAGCCTTCGCTTATTTAGCAGAACCATTTGTTGACCGTCCATCGCCGCAGATGTGAACAAGATTTTCTATGCCAACCTCGTTCTGCTACTCCACTTCTTTAAGCTCGAACGTGGGCCTCTAGGTGATGCGGCCCGCGTCGCTGTCTTCCCCCAGTTGCGCGCCGTGGGCGAAGCAAGCCTCGAGGTCCACCCAATTGACGACCAGGTCTCTGCGTGCGATCCTCAAGCGCTGCCGTTGGCTGCCGGGATAAAGCTGCCGGCACGCGATCCCAATGCCCTTTCTCGTTGGCTCACCGAAGGACATCGCGAGCTCGACCAGTGGGATCGCCCTAACCCAACAGATGCGACCTTGCCTTCAGACGGCGTCGATCCGGACATCCGGGGGCATTACTGAAATGGGCATTATAATGAAAGTAGATATTTGAAATTCGTACCTCCAGTTATCTCAATCTTATATCGGTGCATGTTATGGACTCACGCCGACTTGAATTAGGGGAAAATACGGACGTGCTCTCAGGCCTCAGTTCAAGCGCATCTTGGCCGTCCAGGTGATCCCCGTTCTCCTGGAAACCAGAACACTGAGATTAAATTATGTATGAGTAGGGTGACTATATGCTCCAGGCCCCGCGCCGATTTTTTCAGCACAGCCATTCTGGGAAGCAAAAGTAGTGGGGATTCCGTAAGTTGGTTGGTTCATTTTACAATGAGTATCCAACACCCATGCAGCGAGCAAACGCCTCAAGGACTTTCCCTTCCTCAGCTCTGTGAGTTATCGCTCCACTCTCACATTGCGCTGAGAACTTATATCGTGGAATAGTTTCACGCATCTGAAAAACTGAATATCTATCTACTACGACGGCGAGCTCACAGACTACCTGATTAATTTCGCGACGAATTCGACAACAGGAGGAACATTCCCAACTGGCCGGAGTACATCACGGCGACGACGCCGAACATGATGACGTTCTTGGACGGTTGCGCTGGTGCCGTGGTACAGCTCACCAACCTCACGCTCCAGTTTAGTATCTGAAGCAGTTTGGTCTGCTGTGCGCGAATAAATTACGTAATGTTTTTTGTTTTTTGTTTGCAGCCGGAGAGTTCAGCTCTCAAGTTTTCGGAAAACCGAGTACTTTGCGTCAGAGCCCAATGTTCAAGTTTGGACTTAATTATTTCGCCAAGTTCAACCATGCACGTGATCGATGTTCAACCACGCCTGGAATCCGACATTCATGGTCACAATCTGCAGTCCATGATCTGCAGCGTACAGATCGTTTTTTTTTTACAACTACTTGCCGCATATTAGATCTCAAATCACCGGGCTCTATGCGAGGCGAGCGAGGGGAGGTGATTGCGTTCCGGTGGTAGATGACGGCCGGTTCGCGCCTTTCATGCTCGCTCAGGGCTGAATTTCATGATGCGATGGTTTGATAGAGTGAAAAATGAGCTCGAGACCGCGAAGCGGTAGGAACTCACGAACCTTATCTCCCATGTTGGGCACCAGGAGTCTGCACATTATTCTGGATTCATGTTCAATTTCGTATTCAATAGATTTAATCAACAAAAATGTCCTATTCTCATTTGATGGAGCGGAGGGAAAGTGAGAAAAAATCCAGGGGGTGCTCTTGCCGGATTCTCGCCGCGACGCGGCGCACTTCAACTTGAACATGTAACTGTCACATCAGGCATGTCACGCTTCCCACGGTTTGATCCCGTCGGCACACAACTTATCGACATCGACATCTTCTGGAACGATACGCCCTGTGAACGTCTGAGTTTGAGACAAGAATTGAAGCCTGCCATCCGAAGAAGGCTCGGACGACTCGGAGGCGATTGAACTCATAGAAGAACGACTCTGAGACAATTGAAGAGCTTCCAAGAAATCCACCCGCCTCCGAGTCGCAACGACCTGATTGCAATGCCATGTTGCATGCAAAACATCTCAGCGCCTCCTTCAATTGGCGCTATCAGATCCATCACGGCGCAGTGCGTGTCGCCGTTCATGTGGGTCCGCAGTGGGTCCCGACTCCCGCGCACTTCTTCCTCTCCTCACCCACAATCACACCACCCTACCAAGCCCAAGGCCTCTCTTCCCCACTCCTCGGATTTTATTCCTAACCAATGGTCCTCAAACTTCACGGCGTGCGTCCCCATTCCATCCCATCCCACCCTCCCCTTCCTCATCATCATCTTGTAACTCAACTGCACTAAATCACTCTACTGACCCTCAGGATGCGCGCTCGACCTGCACCAAGCGCGTCGCTCAGATCCTCCTCGAGAAGCAAGTCCCCTTCACGCTTGTCCCCGCGCTCGCTGGGGCCAAGAGCGCGGAGTACAAGGCCAAGATGCAGCCCTTTGGGCAGATACCCGTGCTTGAGGACGGGGGGTATGTGCTGTTCGGTGCGCACTCTCAATCCGTCTCCCTTTTACATCGCCATGGCGTTGATAAAGTGCCATAGAGTCGCGCGCGATGGGACGCTACATTGCGCGGAAGTACGCAGGGCAGGGGACGCCGGGGCTCATCGTTGGAGAGGACGCGGGCATGGAGGAGCTGGGCATCTTCGAGCAGGCGATGGCGATCGAGGCGACGCAGTTCCTCGCAGCGGAGCAGCTGGTTCATGAGGTGCTCATCAAGCCGTGTGTCCTCCTCCTCGTCCTCGTGTTATGTCTTGCTGGGCTAAATGCAAGCGATGTAGGCACATGGGATGGACGACAGACGCCGCGGAGGTGGCGCGGCTCACGGCGCTGCTTGCGGCGAAGATGGATGCATACGAACAGATCCTCGGGAAGACGAAGTACCTTGCGGGCGATGTGCGTGCCCCTTTATTTATGTAATTAATCCGCCGTTGAACTCATCGGCAGCACATCACGCTGGCGGATCTCTACCACCTTCCGTACGCCGAGTTGATCACAAACCGCATGGGCAGCGACGTGATGACGGCGCGGCCCAACGTCGCGCGGTGGTTCCGGGAGATCAGCGCGCGTCCGAGTTGGGTTGCGGTTAAGGATGGGGTCAGTTCGAGGGCTTGAGGATCGGACTGGGGTGTCATAAAAGCCATGGATCAGATTTAGATTTGATTTGTGGGGTGGTCGTTTTGTGCAGGTGAATGTTAGGACGAAGAAGGAAAATTAGTGGAAACTCCTGGTGCATGGCTACGAATGCAAGTGCTAGATATGAAGTATGAGCTGTTCACGTCACGGCGGCCCTTCTGAGTGAGGGCAGCCGCAAGCAGGGAGCATAGAAGAAAAAACTTAAACCCTGCTCGCCGCGTTAAACGTCTTCCGCGGGGGAACCGGTTCAAGACTAAAATTCAACTTCAGGTCCACCGAGTCCTGCGTTTAGGAGTGGAATCAAACATGTACATAATAAAATTCAGCGAGAGACCACCAAAAGGAGATCCAGCCGATCTATTCAGACACGAAGATTCGAACCCTGGATTGCCTCCAAAGCATTGAAGCATTTCTATTCGCAATTAGAGGCCGTGTTCCCACTACACCATGTCTGAGTTCCTATCATCTCGATCGAAGTAGCTTTATCAGGTTGTTCAGGGAGGAATGCAAGAAATGCAAAAATGTAAAGAGGAAAATATATCATGCACCGTGACACCGTCGTCGTCGAGCCAGTCGCGGGCAACGTGTATCGGCTCCATCGCATCAATGACGTCACTCGCTCCCATCTCGATACGACCACCATCCTACTTACTCACCTCGATGCTGTCGACCCCCCCGCTCGCGCGGCCCGCCCTCTCCGGCTCCGCGTCCTTCGAGCCGTCCTCAACACGAGTACTAGTCTTCTCTGATGCCTCCGACACTGACCACCCCGTGCTCCACCCCGGCCGCGTCGTCCGCCTTCGAATCCATCGCCCAGACCATCGCGCCCTCCCGCCTCATTACATCCACTTCCTCCTCGCCTCCCCGTGGCTCATTCACCATTCACATCCACTTCCTTCCTTTCATTTTCGTCCTCTTCTTCTGCAGCGTTATGCTCTCCTTCCCTCCAGCTCCACCCGCCCGGGCATTCTTTCCCCTCGCTCCGCCTTCCCTCCGCGCTCCGTCGCTTGCGGCCCCTCCGCATTCCGTGGGCGCGCACGGTGCTACTGCTACGTGCTACCCGGTCCCGGCTCTCCGCGTAACCCCCGCTCCTCCCGTGCTGGTACACGCGCGCGTCATCTCCGTTTCCCTCATACTGCTATCGCCATAATCTTGGGTCCAAAGCTCATCCCCGCGCTCGTAAATTCACGTCCCAGCCCTTCCCAAATCGACGCCCTCGCCGTCCGAATCCACCGCTTCTCGAATCCGCCTGCCCTGTGCTCGCTCTCGCGTATCCCCGTGCTCGCAACTTCGAATCCACGCGCATCACGTCCCGTCTCGAAGTCCCAGGCCAGCTCAAATGCATCCAAGCCCAAATCCCTGCGCTTGCAAATGCATGTCCAATGCCTGCGCTCGCAAAAGCGAATCCACGCGCTCACAATCGACGGGCGTCTCGAATCTCGAATCCAAGGCGCTCAACTTCCCAAGCGCGCAAGTGCAAGTCCGAAGCCCCTTGCTCCGCGCTCGCGAATCCACCGCATCTCGAATCCGCACGCCCTGCGCTCGCAACTCCGAATCCCAGCCGTTCTCAAAACGACGCCCACGCGCATGCCGTCCATCTCTTACAAACACGAGCGTTCGTGATTCCGAGATGTAGGGCGGGAACGGGGTCGGGTTGGCGTTGTGCGGTGATGCGAGGTAGGTAGGTAGGGAGAGGTGCCGGCGAGCCGGGGGCGGAGGGAGGTGCGAGGCGTCGCGAGGTGCAAGTATGTAGGGGTGTTATTAGTTTTTTCGAACAAAATGGATATTGGGTGAATGTATACCAACCGCGAGTGCACAGCGGTTCTCGTTCCGAGCGGTCTTTCTTCGAGGTGGGGTAATACCGCCGCGTGTGATGAGTAGGAATGAAAAATGACATAAAAAAAGTAATTCGGGTTACCTATTCAAATACAAGGATTCGAACCCTGGACTGCCCCAGCAAACAAAGCATATCTCTAGAAGAATAGGTTGTGTTCCCACTACACCATGTCTGAATTACTGTCCCCTACATTCAGGTACGTTTATTCGGACGTTCAATGAGGATACTGTACGAAGCAAAGAAAAAACTTGGATAAATGGAACACTCAGACACAGGGATTCTAACCCTGGATTGCCTCTGGAAATGAAAAACCAGTTGGAAAATGAAAAGAAGCCGTGTTCCCGCTACACCATACCTGAGTTCCTTTTTCATTCACACGACCAGCTTTATTAGGGAATGTAAGAAGAAAAAAACGCATCCAAGGTCTATTCAGACGCAGGGATTCTAACCCAACCTGCCTCCAAAATATAAATAACCTCAAAAATCATATAACCTCAAAGCACCTAATAATAATGAGAGCCCGTGTGTTGAGTTGTATTAGCTCCGAGGTTGAACCTTCCCGTATTCCGGCGCGGCGCGGGCGGGTCCGGAAGCAAATCTGGCGGGCATGTAAAGGCTGGTGTGTGCCAAGCCCAGCTGTTGAGGTCTGCGAGTCCGCCATCGAATCCACGATGGCGTCGAGTTCACTGCCGCGGTCGTCGAGCAAGTCGGCATCGTGTGTCGGCGAGTCACCATCCCCGCATCAATAGTGTCGTTCAAAGTTGCTCCTACTTTCCTCTTACTCACGCTCCTACTCACTTTCCTACTTGCCTTCCTACACCAAGTAGGAGTATAAGTAGGAGCACAAGCAGGAGGCAAGTAGGAGGCCAAGAGGCTCCTTTTTTCGGAAAAAGGGCTCCTACTTGCTCTCCTACTTGCGTTTTGGCAGTGTTTTGGAGTAGGAGAGTCTTTCTACTTGCTTCCTACTTGCAAAACACAGGGGGGGTGGTTTCAAAGTTGCTCCTTTTTGGTTTCCTACTCAGTCCAGTTTTGCTTTCCTTTTTGACATTTTGGCTGTAAAATGGCAAGTAGGAGATGAGTAGGAGCACAAGGAGGAGCAACTTTGAACGACACTAATGACGTCACCCGCTCCCATCCTCACCGTCTCACCACCACCACCTACTCTCGATGCTGTCGATACCTCGCTCGCGCGGCCCCTCTCCGGATCTGCGTCCTTCGAGCCCTCCTCAACACTCTTCTCCGACGTGTCTTACCGACACCGGCATCGGTGCGCAGACCCGGGTCGCGTAGACCGGTAACCGATCTCTCGTATGAAGACAAATCGTTCATAGAGAGACCGGTCGATCTGAGTTTAAATTCAGATGACGCGCGACGAGATCACGTTTTAGCCACGTGTTTTACACGAACTCCGGAGCGGCAGGCCCATAAATTCATTAGAAAATTCGAATGAGTATATACGACGCCATTGAGTCCGGTTAGCCCTTTACAAATCGATTCATCTTATCTTCTGGCCAAATTCATGCAGTTTCTTCCAAACAGCAAATTGATGGTTAAAGTATCAGAAGTGATCCCGAATTTTTTCTTGAACCACAAAGAGTCCAGGGAAGATATTTACAACGACTCCGGATACTCTCTGTATTTTAATTCGGCTGTCGTGCGACGGAACGTTGAGTGTGTGTCGTTGATGAAGTGATCAACACGTGACTGCTCGCGCGTCATCCGAATTTACAAGTATATTCGACCCGTGCCTTCGGCGTGGAAAGTCGCTGACAGGTTTTTAGAGGTCTTCACAGCAGATTCCGAGAGAGGCGCCACACTGCCGCTCGCTAACGCTCGCGGCGCGCGGCGCCTCCCATGGGATCAGGTGATTATATCACCTGATTATATCACATGATTTATCAAAGTGGCTGTGCCGTCCTCTCTTCTTATATAGTTAAGCCTCCGTCGCGGGAAACCGGAGAGAGATAGATGAGATAGGATGGGAATAGAGAGAGAGAGATTGGGATCAAATGTTTATTTGGGTCCGAAAGCTCTCGGGTCGATCCTGGATCGCATCAGGAAAACACTACATTCCTAAATTACCCCGAATTCCCTCCAATTTCATTATGACTTGCAAATTCCGTTGAAGACTAGGGAATTGGGGTGAATGGTCGCAAATTTCAGTCAAGTTTGTAAAATTACCATGGCATTTCCAATTTGAAAAAAAAAAGTATGAAAAAATCTTAAGCGGCATTCCTTGTGGGCAGACTCGACCGAGTACAGTGGTGTGATCAGGTTTATGAGCCAACGACTGGACCATCTCATTATCACACCTACTTATTCCATTTTCTGGACCAGCTCCAGAACAGCTTGGTGATTGGTGCCATTGACAAATTCAAGCCTTTGAAGCCGATGATAACTAGTGGTAGGACATACTCAGTCAACCTTGAACACAATCAAAACACAACGCATCACGTCCGGCAAAGTCCTTCCAGCGACACAATGCATCGTGTCCGGCGATAAACCACGTTGAATGACAGCATGATTGCGAAAATGGTGCTTCATTTTGATGTTGCCGCAACAACATCAAATATCTTTCTTCCGTTCCCCCCATCTTCTCCCCTTGGTCCTCGCTTGTTCTCCTCACCTTACTCTTCTTTCCCTTCCGTTTGTTGGAGGTTACTCGCTCATCAGCTTACCCACCCGCTGGTCGCATTTTCCTGTGTTTGCGTTGATGGACTGCGCTCGGTGCGTGCCGTACAACTATTCCTCGATAATTGTCTCACTTACGAATTTTCACAGGGTCTGCAATCATCCCAGGCCGTCCCATATTTCTGCGGAGTTCCGGACATCAAGTCGACCACAGCAGGTACGTCGCATATCCCTTGACCATGTATATCCTAAGCACGCCGAACCCAGGCCCATCCGCACTGATGTTTGGCAGCCAACGCACAACGTACCAGCGGAAACAGATTACCATGGTATGCATTCATCATCTACACTGATCTGGTGTACGTTATCCTGCTCACAACTCGCACACCCGCTAACCCTTCACCTGCATTCCCTTCTGACCGGTGATCTGTCAAGCACGGAGGTATGCAGATATCAAATTTACTCCACACCCTACTGACCTTTTTTCCGCACGCATTCCATGCACAGATGTCAAAGTTCTTAGCCAGCTCTTCACTAATGTCACGTAAGTTCTTTTTTCTTTTTTTTGAGCCCGCCGCTAATGTTGTTAATAGCATCAGCACCAAAGCGGCCCCGGCAACAGCTGGAAGCTCTGCCACCTGCATCAATCTTGTCAACGTACCCGAGTCCGACCGACTAGTTACTCGGTAATGATCATCAACTTCCCCACTCGTATCCCGTTGATATTTTAACGTTATATATATCTCCTCGACTTTTAGTACATATCTTTAATTGTTGCCTGCGTAGTTGTTATATGTACCCGACATTTTAATATAAGCTGCCGTTGGGCATTGCTACCACCATTTCCTGGAATGCGAGAGACCGAAATTAGAGGTAATTTTCTCGCCATGTTACTAGAAGCCTAATGAAAGATACTGAACATATTTGACTGAATTACCACCAAGTTTGGTGTAATCTAGCAGTATTACCAATGGAGTGTTTTCCTGA